GAAGACTGGGGGGGGGGGTGGAGTGGTGGCTGTCTGCAGGTCAGGGCTCTTCCGCGACTGGTGCCTGGCACTCAGGCAGCGCTGTGACCCCCACCCCCTCCAGCCCCTTTTCAGGTGTCTCAGGTTGGCCATTCCCTGGCCTCAGTATAATGGAGGCAGCCAAGATCCCTTTAGGACCCCCCCTCCCCACTCCTGCTTGCAAGGCCGCTGCTGGACATCTTTTGGGAGGTGTGTGCGCAGGGGGGTGGCGGATCTGCTGGCGGTGGGGTCGAGCACTGGGGGGTGTGTGAGTTTAGCAGAGGAAACTAAAGACATCAGATCAAACACGAGGTCAGTTTGATTAATGCCTCCCCCCACCTCCCCTAACATTGAATGGTTTATTCCAAGCAGGGTGATTCGGAATCAAATGTGCATATGGAATGGGAGGCTCAAAGGGATCCTGCCTGTCCTCCCCTAACCGAGTTAGTCGCGATCCATCCCCTCCCCACTCGCCCCCAGGGTAAAAGGATATTGGCCCTCCCCCCTTCCTCTCCACTCGGGAGGGAATGCAGTGCTGGCATCCCAACACACACTAAACCGATCTCCTCAAAGCTTTTTCTTTCTGGAAGAAAAAAAGCCGAAACCAGAAAAGAATGGATCTAATTTCTCCCTTCCTTGATAAATGCATTGGATTAAAATAATAATAATCACACGCAGAGAGAAAGAATGAGCCGTGCTATGGAATAAACACACCCTCCCCCCTCCCTTTTTTTTTTTTTAAGTATGAATCAATCTCATACAAAAACATTGCAAGCAGCTATTTAAAAGAATAGTAATAATAGTAATATACTTTTCTCTATCTACCAAAGAGGCAGGAAAAATAAAAGAAAATCTGAAAAGACTAGGAAGTTCTGTTTGGGGGGTGGGCGAAAGAGGGGGGAAAAGGCAAGAAAAAAACCCAGGAAGGTTTGAAAGGAAGTTATTTGAGACTGCTGTATGTAAATTTAAAAAAAGAGTTGTTTGCTGGATAATAACCCCAACTCAGATAGCCTAAAGGTAGCAGGCCTGTAAAAGCTTTATTGGCTCAAGAAATAGGATCCAGGAGCATTAGCAATCGAGTACAGATGGACGATTTGATCTCTACTAAGTTCCAACGTGGAATGCGGGGAGGAATGTCTCTCTTCTCTCGAAGGGAAATAATATCCCAGTTTAACTCTTCTTACAACCCAGTGTCTCTTTGTAACTGGCCCTTTCGACTATTTCTGATGTGATTTCCACCCTTCTCTGGCATCAAAGTTCAGCTGGCTCTCTGAAGTCTGCTGTGTTTGGGAAATCGTAGACAAATCAAAGCTGATGCAGATTTGTTTTGTTTTATTTTTCCTCCCTTTCTTTTCAACATAAAATATTTTCAACAAAATGCCGATGTGACACTGGTTGAAATCATGCTATACACCGCTTGGGTGCTTATATTTTCCCCCTGCAGTGATAAAAAAAAAACCACAGACTCTTACAAAAATCTTATGCAGTGTCTTTTAATTCCAATGAAAGAAAGGAAGAAAAACGCGCTGTTCATCACGATAGAAATACAATCAAAGCAAATATTCAAACTGGCACTGAGGATTTTGATTTTTAGTGCCATTCTAACGGTGGCAGGACAAAATTAAAAAAAAAAAAGATTGAGGTCAAATATTTTAAAAAAAACATTTCAGGTCAAATATAATTTCTCCCTATTGCTTTATTTCTCTCTTCTATATGTTGAATCTTTCCAAGACAATTCTTTTTTTCTCTTTATTTTTTGTTTCTAGTTGACTAGGATTTTTTTTGGGGGGTGGGGGTTGTTTTGGTCCCCCCCCATTTAAAATGAGGAAGGTTTCTCCTACGGGTGTGAAAGATCCAGATTCCAACAAAAAATTGCGGGAGGTTATAAAAATCCTGGCTGTGTGTGTAGGTGGAAGAGAAATCCCTATTCTTTTGGAAGTATATCTCTCTTCTGCAGTTTGCTTTTAAACTGCTTTCTAACAGACTGAGTCGTTCTCTCCAAAGTACACACACACGAAAATGGAGGCTTTTATTCTTTGCATACACACACGGCGTTGGTCGTCCTGGCGACCCGAAAGGGGGATCTGAAAAGCAAAGCCAAGGAGAGAAAGACACACACTCGCATACAACGAATCGTGCTTGTTTTTCTTTTCCTATCTAAAGGGGAATGCGGTTCTCAAACGCCTACTCCTTTCTTCAGATTTTGCTCCTGGACTCTTAGCTGCAGGATCCAAATCAGGTTTTTTAAAATGTATTTTCTAGGGTGCTTCCCCCCCCCCAAAAAAACCCAGATTTGTGGAGTTTGTTAATTAAAAACCACTATTATTTATGTGAGAGTGTGGAATAACGCCAACAAAGAGCCAGGCACGAAACAGAGAGAGAGAGAAAAAGAAAGAAAGAGATCAGTAAAGGATTGATATTTTGAAAGTCTGCAGGTCAGGCACATGGCTGCTAGAAATGCCAGCGTGTTAGCTAGTTTTTCTTTAATTATATGCCTGATCCTAAAACACTTGTGAATGCAAAGCTCCCAGTGAAGTCAGAAAGAGAGTTTGGGTTTGTTTTTGGTTTTGTTTTGTTTTTTTTTTGGGGGGGGGGGTCTGGGTAACATGAACAGAACCCCCCCCCACCTTAGACTTGGATTATGCAAAAAAATGTTGCTTAAGCAGAAAGAAAGATAAGGTGCAGCTTTGTCTGTCACTGGCAGTAATACACACATAACTCAGGAATACTTTACAAGGTATCTAATCACCTCAAAAACTGTATGCATATACCTATGTGTGTGTGTTTACACACACTCACACGTATATGTTTATACGTGCATACATATATTTATCTCCATGTGGATGTGTGTGTGTGCGTTTGTGTATGTGTATGTATATAAAACACAGCGATGCATATACTCACGTATGTGATATATAGGCATACATGCATACATTATTTATAAACACACACACACACACACACACACATAAATGTGAGGGAAGCTGTAGCAGGGCTGTGAATACAATATACCTCAAAACTTTCCCCGCTCGCACACCTTGATTGCTTTCTCTTGCAACAGAAACAGCCTGTTCTCTGGGAAGGAAAAAAAAAAACCCCCCAAACGCACCATTTCTCACCATCTTTTTTTAATACGTTTCAAAGAAGTGTATGTGGTCCGGAAAAAAAGTCAAATTATGTTCCTAGGAATTCTCCATTTCCTCCCGAAAGTTTTTTTTTAAAGCTTGTTGCATTGCAATAAAAAAAAATTAAAAAAGGAAAATCCAACAGTTATTTGATATGATATGGCTTGGACCTTTTTTTAAGGAAAAAACAAAGCAAAACAAAAGCAAAACAAAAATTCAGTGGTAGTTTCCTAGAAAGAAGCAATCTCTCTTTGATTAAAAAAAACCCACGTTCCTAAAGAACTGGACAATTAGGATGCTGAAAGCGATTTCTATTTTTGAACAATACATTTTTTTTTAAACACCAGAGTGGTTTAAACAATACAATGGCACCTTTACCATATTAGTGACGTTGCATTATTTGCAATTGGGTGCAAAAGAAGGAAGACCCGATTTTTTTTTAAGAAAGCGTTTGAATAGAAAACAAATACATGAAAATATCTTCTTTTACGAATTTAAAGGGAAAAAACCCAACCCTGTTATGAATGAATGCTGCTTTTTAAAAAATGCAGTCAGTTTTAGACTCAGGAAAATCTCAGCTTGGATGTGGTGTGGTGTGAGGCTGTTGTAAGGGTTTATTTTGGGGGGATGGGGGCCTAGCGAGTTCCCTGGCCCCTTTGCTCTACCTTTGCATAATTGGATATGCAGTTTGGGAGCAGAACACAGAGCAGCCCTCGGTTTTCATGTAAATCACTCCAACTCCGCAGGAGTGGAGGTGGGTTAAAATAGACTTGACCTGCTTTGCTGATCCACTGGGGGGGTGGGGGAAGAGGGGAGGACTGGGGGGAGCTCCACACGCAGGATTTAAAGGTACAGGTCTCTATTTCTGGCAAAACAGAGAGGGAAAATAATTTATAAAAGCAAGGAGGGGAAAATACTTGTTAATAACCTATTTCCCCCCGTTTCCAGGCCCGCTCCAAAGACCCAGAGGATCAATGTCGTTCCCTGAGTGCTG